TCAGGATAGAGATCATGAATTTAGATAAAGAAACAAAAAGGACCATGACTTATTTACTTGTGGAAGGAGAAGCTTTAGAGAGGTCTCTGTGTGCATGCTGAAATGAGTAGAAATTGATCACTGGCTGCTTCTGAACTGGAGTACAATTGCAGCAGAAAAAAATACTGAGCTGAATTAAAAAAATGTAAATACAGATTAGTAAATGGCTGTGGTGTGGTTCAGACACGTCATTCCTGTATCTTGTCTTGCAAAGACCATGATATATACATATATATATATATGCAATTGTGTCGTCCACTTCACAAAGTCCAAACAATATTTTAAGACGTAGTGGGTATAACTCTTCAGAGGGAGGGTGTCAAGGTCATATGGACTCACTGGTGACAAACTGGTTATCACTGTAGGTCAGAGAGATTCTGTTGACCGCTCTGCAGGTGACTGAGCAGATGCTGGAGCAAGGAATCTGTCTCATTTTGTGTTTTGATTTTGGTTTGTGTTCTGTAGAAATGCTTGACTGCTGTCACAGTGGGACTGTGACATTATCCCAGCAGATAGGTTGCGTTGCTTCACGCAACAGGGATATTTGCTGTGGAAGAAGTGGAAACTGCTCCGCTGTAGCTTTGTTTCTGGCTCTTTGAGAAGAGGATAATCAGTGAAGGATTGCAATCTTTGTCTTGCAGTAATCCATGCTGAAGAGGCTCCATTCATACAGATGAACCAAGGGTTGAGGCAGCACTTTAAACCCAGATAGTCGGTCGGCTAACTGCCCAGCAGGATGCCATCAACCAGCCGAGCGGGCAGCCTGAAGGACCCAGAAATTGCAGAGCTCTTCTTCAAAGAAGATCCAGAAAAGCTCTTCACAGATCTCCGAGAGATTGGCCATGGAAGCTTCGGAGCAGTTTATTTTGTAAGTAGCCCCGTGACTTGTGAATTTTAGCTGTGTCTCTTTTTATCTTTAAACTGTGGACGTAGACTTTTTTTGAACATACTGAGGAACAGAAACTACTGTGAATCCTTTTGTATGGTGTTTGGGGCAGAGATGTTTTCTTGTGTGTCTATACAGTCTCAGTCCGTTCACAGACTCACAGTATCTCTAAGGTGTTTGCATACAAACTGAAAAGAAAAACTGGAAACGTGGCCCTTGCGGAAATGTGGCCCTTGCTCAGTGCTTTTAGGTGCATCGTTATGCTGCAAGCAGGGATTTATCTGCAAATTAAAACATGGACTTCTGCTCCATCGATTCTGACTGGCAATGCAGTTCTCTTGGTCTGATCGTCTCCTTATCATCTCTTGTCCCTTGAGTGAAATTGAGTTCTCTCTCCCTTCGTGCATACCCCCAGGCTCCCTTAAAGCCATTCTTTGTGTTTGACACCTGAATATTGGTGCTTTTGTTGTCATTGGTCCTGTCACATCCTTCCCTACTGCCGGCAAGAATCCTAGTATTCATCTGCATAAAACTTACTTGACGTAAATGTCTGGACAGCAGAATTTTTCCCAGGCTCGTGTAGCTCAGCCAGAGGTGGGACGTCTCATGGTAACCTCATTTGCAGGTTGCTGCATGTTAACCAAAGTGCATACTGTGAGACCTTCATTAAAAAACCATTTTCCTCAGAAAACCTTTTCATATTTATAATTATAGGAGGTGTGGCCAAACCTGCCAGTTTTCCTTCAGAAAACCATTTGTGTCAGTATTTTATGAGATGCCTATTCATTGTTAATAATTGCAGCAGACCATGTTGGGAACCTTCCAGCACAAATTTAATGCAGCACAGATGAACTAATTAGGAAAAGCTTCTTAATTTTGTTCCCTGCTTAAAACTATGAGCCGCCACTGTCTGGGAACAGATCTGGGGGAGGAAGTGTTTTCTAACGAAACAGTACTCACCTGCAGCCTTTACTTCATCTCATTTACTCACTTTGGTTGAAGAGTGGATATAAAAGGAGGGAACTGACACATCTGTCTTCCTGCTATGTGGAAATATTATTGAAGTTTTTCAGGAACGCTGTATCTTCTAGAGGCGTGCATGAACCGCCGGGGTATGGGAAACCAGCACGCGGGTAGAGGTAACCCGCGAGCTGTCTGCTAAGGGCATTCCCAGACACCAGCAAGAAGCTGCCATCTGTGGCGTTTGTAGACTGCCTGAACTTGGTAGTTGTGGTAAGAGCTGATTGCCCATTACCAGCTCCTTCTGCAAGGAGATTGAAAGTAAGAGGTCATTAATTCCTAGGCCCTTCCTCTTTTTTTCCCCCCTACCATTTTAGACTACCAATTTGCTATAGGTTGGTAGTTATTCACTAAAGAGTGTGATTACTTGATGGTGTTTGGATTGTTCTTCTTTGACAGAAAGTACGTCTAATTTGGCACTCACAAAAAGGCAAGCATAAGCAGTGCATCGCACTACTCCAACCCTTTTGGGGGCTTTATTTTTGTCAAGTAAGAGTAAGTTTCCAACAAAGAAGATACGCTGTTGCTATTTCTGTGTTAGGACGTTTTAACCTGTAAGTTTTGTGTTGTATTACAGTATCTTTTTACTAGTAGCAGGTCTAAGATCTTGAATCTGAAACTGTTTCATGTAATGTACTCAATACCTCAAACGGAAGCCTAAAAGATGAGAAACACAACATGGAGGGAGAAATTTAGTGTAAAATAAATAAGCATAAAGAACTAAGGTAGAGGAGCGTACGTCTTGGGTCCTTTATTCCTCTGCAAAGCTAGGGAAAAAACTTCTCTTAAGTTTCTTTAACAAGATTTTGATTGTGCTAATGCAAACAATTAAACTTTCTCTAACCGATGTAATATTGGATTGTAGTTAATAACTGCCTAAAAGCGTATTACTAAAGCCGATGACATACTCCACCTTTTCTGTGCTTATGCTTTGCTTGTATCACTGCTGAAGTTACTCTGGTCACCAGATGTTGATCCTTTGTGTGGAGTTTTTAGAGGAAAGCAGGATATATGTGCATAAATGTCTGCCATAAAACAAGCCTCATTCATTTAAATCGTTTAAGTTAGCTGGCCTTGTAACGGCTTCATGGCTTTTGTCTGGGAACCGTCTTTTTTCAATTATTCAAGATCACAAGGAAACTAAAAAAGCAAATGAAACTCCATGATTGTAACATTCATGGGGTGTCAGCTGTGATGGTTCCCTCTCTCTCAGCCCCGCTGTAGCAGTGAAGGACTGTAGGTGTTAGGCAAACGCAATCAGGGCTTGCTTGCTTGGGTTTTCTAATACATAGCAGCCCCCCACCAGTCTGCTTTCATTACGTACAGCCTGGACCAAAAATGTTGATGATAAATAGATGTGGGAGTAATTAACAAGTAGAAAAATCCATATAATCCTGAAATCTCCCCCTGCCTTTTTTTAAATGCAGTTGAGTCTTTTGTTGTTAGTTGTACCTACTTTTCTTTCCTTTTAGCAGTGATCCTGAGAAGGGGTGATATATTTATCTTATGTGATAACTGGCTAAGAGCGTTCACTCTTATCTTTCTTTGTTTGTTACATCCTGCAGTGGCAGAAAGTTTCCTTCCCCCCCCCCCCCTTTCATAATTGAATTCAGTAAAATAATGAATTTTACTGGTTCACCTCATGGTTTTAGTTTCTTAAAAACTGGAAGTCTGGCACCTCTGAATCATTTTGGAATTATCCTTACCCTACTCCCTGCTCTGCAGTGTAATAACAGCTTTCACTTGACACAGGAAACCTACAGCACTGGAACACTGCAGATGGAGCAGAATAATAACCCACTCTCTTTTGTTAGAGCTGTGTTCTCTCTGCTCTACTCTAGTATTTTGCTTGCCTGTTTTATTGCAATTCTTCACTGATTTTGAATGTTTCAGAGATTGCCTCTAATTGGTAAAGGTCTAAGAGGTGGAATTTTATTCTTCCTTTTTTGTCTCAAAAACCAAAAATAGTCGTCGTCCCCCAACCTTAGAGGTACTGTAACATCAGCGAGACAGTAGGAAGGATCCTCTCAAACAGAAAGAAAACTAAAAATAGTATCGGTTCAAGCTTATCATAACTGGTTGAAATAAAGATGGACAGGGAATTCTGGGAATCTCTTTTTAATGAACGGCAGAATTAAAACATGACTGAAAAACCTTTTTACAAAAGGCAGAGTCCCAGTACTTCATTAATCCATGTTCTGATAGGCTGTGCTTGATAGTACAAATATATTAAAAATCAGCATTTTCATCAGTGAATGCTGTGGTGCACATTATTTTGATTTATATCATTTGGCTTTGTATCCAAGTTGATTAGTCTTATCAGAGAGACTCCAAGGTCTTTTCCTCCACCACCTTCCCATGCTGCTGAAATCCTTAGCAGAGGAGAGCCTGGAGTCTTCTCTGCAGCCATCCTTCCTGCAAGGTGAAGCAGCGCTGCCTCTTCTTCCAGGGTGAATGAGCCATCAGTTTAGTGCTAAATTAAACAAAACTTCTTGTCTTATCTTGGATTGTTGCTGTCTGAAGTCAGGAAGTCTGCCTTTGAAGATTGAAAAACCATGTACATTTATTGTGCGGTGTAAATAATAATATTATTGGACTGAGAAAGTGAAAGTCTGAAGGGGAATCTGAGGATGGGTCTCTTAGATCACTGCCATCTCTCTCTGTATCATCTGCCTTCCTTTAAGACACAATAGCTAATTTGTGGGAGCACTGGGCAGAAAGCTGCCGGTGTCTGGAGCAGGTCTCCCTTGCGCATCCTGTGACATCTTTGCTTATGTTTGGAACGAAACAAGGGGGCTGAGCCTTGCTTCTGTTTGGTCTGGAATGGACCTGGGCAGGGAGAGAAGTTGATTTAGGGAAAATCCATTCTACTTGAATCAGAGCTGTTTTTATAAGCTATGATTTTTAGTTTAGAAGTGATGGTACTCGACTCCTGCAGAGACTTGCTGGATGCTGAGCACGGAAAATTGTCGTACCTTGTCTCACAAACAGGAGGTGATCTTTAACTTTGGAAGGAAATTTCTAATAGATGCAGCAGTCACACCCCTTGGAAGATATTTTAGTTTAATTGTCTGCAAGAGTTAACTAATGGATAAAGATTTTTCATTGCTTCACTGTGAGTATGTTTGGTTTACGTCTTGTGGGAAATCATGATCTGAAGAAACTGATGCAGCATGTTTTCATGTTACAGGCACGTGATGTGCGCACCAACGAAGTGGTGGCCATCAAGAAAATGTCATATAGTGGGAAGCAGTCCAATGAGGTATGTAGAACATGTTGCTTATTAAATCTTGACCATTGCAAATACTTAATATATGGGATGATTTTAGTTAGCTTGGGTTACAACAAGAGAGATCTTTCCTATAACTGTAAAGGTGAATGAGGGTACTGTGTAAACAAAACAAGTTAGTTTACCATTCACAGTGTTTTTCTGCCTAATCTGCTCCTGGAAAAGATGGGTAGGACTCATTGCTTCCAGACACAAAGGGCTCTTTTATGGGACGACGTAAATGTGTAGAAAGCAAAAAAGAAAATTAAAAATGGTAGTTTTGTATGTTAATATGTCTTGTTGCTCTTAAACATTCAATTTTAAATACCTTTTAAAATAACTGTGTTGCTTACTGGACAAAGGAATAACAGCAATGGATGCAGTAGTGAAAGATTCAGAGGGAATCTTGCTTTTACAAAGTAGTAAGGCAGAATGCATCCTTCGCTGGAATGGTTGTGCTGATGAGGACCTAAAACAAAAGCAAAACAGCAGTGAATGAATGAGTGTGAAAATCTGAACAGCAGCATAATTATGGAAGAACTGCCAGAGCTAGGGATTAAAGCAGTCTTTGCAGAGAGGTCTGTAAAAGTAGGCCTCTGAGATTTAGATGTTAAGTGTTTTCATGCTCACCCCAGATGTGTGTTTTTTTCCTAGGACGCTTAACAGAGATAATTGATTTTATACTTGAAATGTTTAAGTGCTAATACAGATTCTTGAAAAATCCAACAGGACACGAACAGCTGATTTGGTATTATTTCTGGTAAACGACATCTATGAAATCGTGGCATGATTTTTCAACAGAAGTATTTATTGTAACCATGTTGTTCAAGGCATTTATGGTTCCCTCCCTCCATTCTGTATATTCCAGTCCTAGAAGCAGTCTTGCTCCGATGAGTTTGACTAACAACTCAGTGCTTTCTGTGCCTGCCTTTTGTGTATTGATCATCTGCGCTACAAGGAGCTGAACTACTCCTTCCTTTCTGTGTGTGTGCGCGCGTGTATCTGTGTAGGAGGTAGAGGTGGCAGTGTCTCTCCAGCAGTCCTAAATTCTAACTTCATAGTTAAATTTGCTATGCGTGTTTCTATTTTGTCACTGCGGTGACTTGTTTAACTGTGTACTGATGAAAGCATAATTTGTACTTACTACTTGTCCTACTGTTTTAATTACTGTGAGCTATAAATACTCTATTCACATGAATGAAACAAACTGTGCATGCTTCAGAAATAGCTTTTGTTTGTCTTCGATGTGTATGTTTCTTTATTTTGAAGAAAGTAATAAGACCAGGATTAAAACACTTTCTATTTTACTTATATATTTATTTGTTTTGTTCGGAAGTTTGCTAGAGTTATGATCTAGCCTATGTAAAGAAAATTGACTAAGGGCATTCTGGTATTGTTTATATTTACTTTGGTTTCATAATAAGATCTTATCATTAGTGGAAACAATTATTCTCTAAAATGAGAACATATTTTATTCTAAAAATAAGTTTAAAACCTTTGAAATATGTAGTACTGTGCTCTTAATGTGATCTCAGAGCTTTTTTTTACGCAGGAAATCATGAATGCGTCTTGACTAATATATCACTTCTCTCCTCCCAATATAGAAGTTTAGCGTGGCGCTTTCTTGGTTTGGCTTTTATTGCTTAGTACCTCAAAGCCTTTGAGGCTAAAGGTAAAAGGCAACTTAGTCGTTCTTGTACTGGAACAAGGGTGCCAGGGAGAGAGTTTATGTTAGTATAGCTGCACTAATGTCATTCTCATGAAGTCTCTGGTGTTGAGAAATGCTGCCTCGGTTGTGGCTACCATGTTCCCTGGTTTCATTTGTTTCTCTAACCATAAAAATTTTATTGAGGAGGATTTGGGTTTTGTACATGTTTTCCAAAGCATTTGGGTATATGGGACCTCTGTCCATCTATGAATCCTAGCTACATACATACACCTGAAGAACTGTGTGCTGAGAGATTAACAGGACCTGGAAAACAGCTTTTGAACCTTTTGGTGTTGGGTGAGGTTTCTCTGCTTCTGATTAACTTCAGAACTGATACTCTTTCTTGAAAACGTTTTCAGTGTCAACACTGCTGTGTTGACGTCTGCATACTTAAACGGTTTCAGCTACTGCATTTGTTTTTGAAAAATCTTTTCCGGTAGTTTTGCTGTTGCACTTACAAGCTTTTGCCTTTCTTGCCGGAGGAGGTGTGGATGTGCAGCAAATGAGAGGACTTGGTGATTTCCTCCGAGGGGAGTAATGACAGTGTCTTAGGCAGGCATTGGAAAATGATTCTATGGCGTTTTGGCCTCCTCTGTACTTTAAAGTTGCACTGGCAGAATTCCCTTTATTATAAACCTGGGTTTTGTTTCATCTGTTTATTCTTTTACTGCTGGAGAACCATTCCGTTATCTCGTAGGTAACTCATTTTAAATTGGTCCTTGTAAGACTAAACTAGTAATGGAGAAACATTATCAAGAATGTAGTCAGATATTTGGCAGCTGATAAATGGAGCCTCATCCAGTGTAATATAGTTACTAGTAGGGTTAAGTCTTTATACCTGCAAGAGTTCAGTGAGAGACAGCTGATCCTGCTGAAGGGCACTTATCGGCCGCATCTCTTTCAGGTTGGGATGTTTGTTTGATTTGACAACAGAAATGGTATCCCTTAAAAAAGGATTGCTTCTGTTTTGAGGACTTGCTCAGATATTAAGTGTTTACCAATATATCCTATGCATACATAAAAAGTATTACATTGATGAGAGATCCTTAGACCCTTCCCATACAGCCTAATCGATCAACTTCTTATTTTGTAGATCTGTTGGGGAGTTAAGTAGTGAACATCACGGTGTTAATGTGAATTTATTTTGACTTGGAACCTTAAGATGGTTTTGCCTCTTAAAATAATTAAATGGCATACTAACTTAACAACAATCGGGGAAAAAAGGTAACAGTTTTATAAAGTCTTTCTATTCCTTTTATTTTCTACAGAAATGGCAGGATATTATTAAGGAAGTCAAGTTCCTCCAAAGAATAAAACACCCTAACAGTATAGAATACAAAGGCTGCTATTTGCGGGAGCATACAGCATGGGTAAGCATCTGCTGCACTTTGCACTTCTCTTGCCTTGGTTAAGGGCGCTTTAAAATATCTCCAGCTGGCTTTCAAGAGGCACCTGAACATTTGCATGGCACAGAGTCTGATGGGAGTAGCCAAGGCCCTTACAGATGCTCAGCAAAACTGACTGTAGTTTTTGGAAACAAGATTTAGGGAAATTTTCCCTTTCACTTGCAGAGTAAGGTGATTGTGCTGTTTGTTCTAGTATATTTAGCTTGATGGATGGGTATTTAAAATAAATAATAATGAGCGGGGGGGCACCCACCAAATTTATCCATCGCTTTTCTTGCTGTAAGGAAAGGTGAGAATTTCACTTGTACTGAGTGGAAGGCAAGTATGGCAACTTTATTAGATACTTGCAGGTCACTCAACAACGTGTTTGGTATGCCGCTGAGTATTAATGGTTCAGTACTTTACAGGTTGACTGAATATGTTCCAGAAGTAAGTGTTCAGTTGTATTTTAATGAAATAGGTTAGAATCTCTACTGATAATTGTAATGAAAGTATATTTTGAGCAGCTAATATTTCTACTATTTAACTATATTCTTCTGTTGTGTATTGTTTGCTTCTGTTGTGATTTTTGTGTGTGTGTGTTTAGGTGACAAAACCAAGTAGCTGGTTTTATCTCTGGCTGCCATCTCCTACCCAGTTTCATACATTTGATTTAAACAAACAAAAAAACCCAACACCCCACCCCCACCCCTAAATTTGGTTTATTTGAGTTTGTTTGCATAAAAATGTGTGTGTAGGAATAGATGCAATTGGCTATGCAGAGGAAGCATTTAGTCAAATGAAAAGTGTGATGTAGCACCTCTCATTGACAAATTTTTTGTAGTACGATGTACTAAAGAAATCATATTGTTGAACTAACAGTTTAAATTGTAAGTACTGTTCATGTATTAGCTTCAATAAATCTGTATGACAAAGTTTTCGTTTCTTTTTTTGAAATCTGGCTGGGACAAAATCTTAAGTAAATCCCTAAATAGCCCTTTAATACTCCGATAAGCTTGTTAAGTGCAATTTAACATTCCTGTTAAGTACGTGCATATAAAATAAGATATGAAATACAATACATAACCGGTTTTGAATATGCTTTTGCCTTCCTTACAAGTTTTGTTGCTTCCTATCTCACACAGGAAGGCTATGCTAATTCCAGTTAGAGCTGTCCTTGTGCGAGGGGTCAGTGTGACAGTGCTAAGATGGGGCTTATGTTACAAGTGATACTTGTTTTGTTATGGCAGTCTGCATTGTATGCATGGGTGATTATTTCTAGATTTCTCCTTAGAAAGAAGAAATTCTTTCTAAGGAGAAATCTAGAAAACATGCATTTAGAGATTTTCTAACAACTATTTTGATTTCTTCCCATACAGCTTGTTATGGAATATTGCTTAGGATCAGCATCAGACTTACTAGAAGGTATGTCACACACATTTATCTGATTGAAAGTCAGAAGTATAGTACTGAAGTAGGAGGTTACAGCATCACAGAATTGTCCTTGACTATATAGTTTTATTTGGGGGCAGAGTGTGTGTGAACAGTTGCAGTTTTTCAAATTCTTGCATGGCTGTAATGGTTTTTCCATAGAATATTGGCTTTCCTAGGTGCCTAGTTTCTCCTTGGTTCATATTATTTTAAAGTTGTCGGTCAGCTATTTATTTTCTTCTGAGTTTTAGGTTCTCCTGTCACGATAGTTCAAGATTTATTTCTGAAAACCTTTGCTGTTGATCCTAATGCTTACTAACAACTGTAGGCCTGTTGACTAAATAGCACTGCAGCAGTATTAGGATTTCCTTGATGAGGTCTTTTGTTAAATGGTCATTTTTCTATCAGGCTTCTTGAAGTGAACTTTCTTTGAAGATAGATGTGTGGCCAGTAAGTTGTTCATCTCCTTTCTTTGCCAGAAGCGTTTCAGGACAAAAGACTGAGCTGCCAGAGAGTCATCTGTATTGCTACAGTTTATTTATTCATGTGTGAATGGTCGTAAAGTTCTAGGGTTTGGGATTTAGCTTCATTAATGGAAAATTGGATATTGAGTCTCAAACAGGTATTTGGGAGAATGGTCACAGAACTGACAGGAATGTAGTTTATGGTTGCAAAGTGGTCTCTTTTTGATAGTAAATAGCTGCTGTTTTACAGTTAGAAGATTACATCTGATTATAGAATGTACTCTATGCTGTGAGCTATTTTTACGTTTACTTCTCATACTGAACCTAGTAAAAATGAAGTTTTAGTATTTTCTCTCTGTTTACATTGTCAACAGTACTCATTTGCATGCTGCAAACTGCATTGTTTTCTTTAATATTAAATTTCAAATACATTCTTTCCTTAAGTTCATAAAAAGCCATTGCAAGAAGTGGAAATAGCAGCAATTACCCATGGTGCTCTCCAGGGATTAGCATACTTGCATTCTCACAATATGATCCATAGGTAAGTGGTTATACTTTTGCTGTCTCACACACTTACAGGTAATTTACTTCGTTGATTGTATCCCCTTCATCCCAAATTAAATATTTGTAAGCAGGGAGTTTCTTTTTGCACTGTCCGTATGCTCCCAGACTAGTGATTTGTAGTGGCCAAATACTAGCAAGCTATGTATCTCCTTATGCACTATCTCTTACAGCTGGTGGTCATAATTTCTGCAGAATTGCTTTGAATCTGCTAAGCTTTTCAATACTTGATACGATGCTGATTGTTCCCTGAAGCAGCGAATAGCCATGCAGGCTGAGTTCACCTAAATAGCTTGTAGCAACTGCAAGGCAAAGATTGCTGGGGCGGGGGGGGAGCGCTAATACTTGAAATTGAAAAATTAGTTTTACATGAACACACAGGTTGAGAAGCACACAGTAAGTATGGGATGCAAATGTTCTTTGTGTTTGGAGTACGTGCTGCATTTTAGTTGGATGGAACAATTTGAATAGTTACATTATTAGGACTTTCTGAAAAACATTTATAAAGGACGTAGTTGGCTCAGAAGGTTTTGCTGAACTGTATGTGAAGCTTATCCAGGTGTGCCATTTTCAGTTGATTTTTAAGACAAACTAGATTCCAAGATCAAGGGCCATGTTAAGCAATTAACCTAAAGGTTAAAGATTTTGTATTTGGAGGAAACGCGGGTATTCTGCAGCTTGAACATGAGAATGAATACTGGCGTGTTTTGTTCTCTGTCCTATAGAAGGTGTTCTTTTTCGGAGGGAAATAATACTGACACTTGTATTCTATAACCAGAGATATCAAGGCAGGAAACATCCTGCTGACAGAGCCAGGACAGGTGAAACTTGCTGACTTTGGGTCTGCTTCCATAGCATCTCCTGCCAACTCATTTGTGGGGACGCCATATTGGTAAGCCAAGAGTTTTACGCATTTCTGGCTTTGTGAAGTAAAAGGATCATTTATTGGGTATTTAATGTACTTGGACTTTATTGGAGCTAGCTTTGTAATCTTCCCGTTGTGGTAGTGATAAAATGTACTTTGCAAAAAAAAAAAAAAATTTAAATAGTAAGTAGGCTCTGACTTCAAGAAATTGTGAATCCTTGTATTTGTAGCTCACAAAAAGTAATATTTTGTTGTTCTACTTACGCTGACTTGAAGTGGTAGAGGTGGGATTGAATCATCTGTAATATATTTTAATCACTCCCCCCCAGTGGTTTTAACAATTCGTATATTCTCACCACATCTGGTTGTTGAAATAACTGAAGTGTTTTTTCTTTCATAGGAAAGGCCAGGTTCATTGAACAAAACCCTTTGCAGATCCCTTGTATGCTTTTGATCTCTTACACCTAATCTGTGGTGTTCACACAACTGCATGCTGTAACTATGTCACCAGAGTTGGCCAGCCAGCTAAACTATTGGAAATGTGGGAGGGCGAGAAGGTGGTGATACTCATAAAGGGAGAGCTGGGCAAAGCACAGGAGAACATTGCGCAGCCTCTCTGCGGGCTTGTACTAGTGGGGGTGCCTGGTCTTTGTTCCCAGTATCCCATGTTCATGCCTGATACCTTGGGGAATGATTTGTTTACAGTAGCTGAAATTAGTGAGACAGCCTCTTCCATTGAAATACTGATGATAATAATGTGTTCCATTGCCCAGAATTTTATGAGCACCAATTTCCTATTTTAGGATGGCCCCAGAAGTGATTTTAGCCATGGATGAAGGGCAGTATGATGGCAAAGTAGATGTTTGGTCTCTTGGAATTACCTGTATTGAGTTAGGTAAGTTATTTTCTTTGAAAAATTATAAAATGTAGTTATTTAATACCTAGAACATATTCAGTGGAATCACAGCGCAGAAGATCTATGCTTCCTTCCTCGTCCTGGTTTCTCTGGGACTTGAGTTTTATAGAAAAGAGCTAAATGTGCTCTCTAGAATTCAAGACCAAGTCTCCAATTTGATGTTTATTGAACTGTTGTTTTCCTTACCCAAAGAAAGAGTTATATAGACAAAGAAAATAGCCAAGCTATATCACTAAAGGTGTTCATATTCTGTGGGAGAGGCAGTTAACTTTTGAACTGAAAAAGTCTATTTGCTGAACAGCTTTAGAAATGAACTCTTAAAAGTACCAGTGTGAAAATATATTTAATGATACGAGTTGATATTGTTTGCATGAAAATTTAAGATTAACAAGTCCTGCAATATCGAAGTTTTGGATAAGCGGACAGCTTCAAAGCTATATTTGGTGTATGTTGTCACTTGTGAATAGATTTGGCTGGAAAATCTCTTTAAAAAAAAAAAAAAACAACAAAAAACCCAACGTATGGAATAATCCAGTTTTGAAGTGGTAACCGTAAGCCAAAACCCAAAGAAATGATGGCATTGCCATTAGAACAGACCCCTTAACACAGAACGTCAGTTTAAAAGGACTATGTTAGTGTGGCATACTATTTAAATTTAACGTGTAGTATTTTCTTGAAACAAAAATACACTTGCTGAAGCACACCACCGTGCACAGCACTACTCAGGTTTTAGTCAGGATGCAGCTCTGCAGAGGCACTTAGCTGTAAGTTTTTCTTGGGATGGTGAGGTTCAGTGCTGGTCATTGCACCTGAGGCTGGCGTACCGTCCTTGTCAGATCGCCTTGCTCGTACTCTGACCTCAGTGGAGGCGCAGCCTGGCTGGGCAGTGAGAGCTCTCAGGAACACGCTAATCCATGTGAACTGCACAGTTTAGCTAAAAATGCTGTCTGGCATTCCAAACTGTCAACTTCATTTTCTTCCAGGACGTGAAGTAGATTCTTTCTTCAGAGCAGAGATTTTTTTGGTTGCCAATATAAAGCAAGTTGAAGGGGTGTGACTGTCATGACAGAATCCTGCTCCGAGTGGAGTAAGGAGACTTGGCTGGCTGCAGCGCTCCAGGAATGCAGTGAGCTCATGGCCACCACACCCCCGGGTGCCTTCCTGCATGCTGCCTTTTTGCAATATGAAGCGTTAGTCTTCATCTATGGCTTCTAGCGTGGTGGGAGGTGAGACTAGGTCAGGACGGTAGAGCGTTGTAGGCTGGGTCAGTGTGGTTATCTCACTTGTGTTGGTTTGAATAAGCATGGGAAGAAGGCAGAAAAATGAAACATCTCATAGTCTTCTCAAGCTATTACTTAGTCTTAGAAATGGCCTCATTGAAGGCTCAGTTTCGGTGTTTCCTGAAGATTTTTATTTTATTCAGGTGAGTTAAGAGAATAAAGAGAGAACAGTCAGTTAAAATAGTTTAAGGGGTCAGTTAAAATAGCTTAATGGATAATCAGTCTGATCCTTGATAGCAGCAACTGGTTATCTGACAGATTAGAGAAGGTAAAGTGCTGCATTTGAGGAAGGGCTTAACTCCTCAGTTTACCCATTCTGAGGAATTTGCAGGGCTTAGTCCGTCCTCTGATAGCAATGACTGAACAGTGATCTCTGATGCATAGCTTACTGCTACTATTTGGCTCGAAATAAAAAAGCAGAATAAGAAAACTAGCATTATTTTTCCTTGTTTGTTTTTTTCAGGAAGGAGAGTTTTCTGTTACATTACTAGTCCTACTAGTGTAGGAACATCCTCGTGGCCTGACCAGCTTCTCTGGAATGTTTATGGCGAGGCTGAGCTTTATAGGTTTACGCCATAAACATTCTGATGAAGCTTCAATTTTGTTGTTACAGTGAGATCATCTCCTTCCTCATTAAGCTTTCATGCTGTGTCAATCTATAAGAGTAACACAAGCTTGAAAGAGAGAGGAGAGCCAAAGAGAATGCAACTCTCAAAATAGTATAAAGAGTTGGCCTGTTACTGACTTCCTGCCCATGTGCTTAGTCAGTTCAGTGTGATTTGATGGTTCTTGTAACCAGCCTTTTCTTCATCACTGCTGTCCTGCTAGAATTAAATATTTGTTAGCTTTTTAGCAACTGTAGCTTAAAAAAAAAAGGGGGGGGGGGGCATGAAACCAAGAATGCTTAGTGGCTAAACACCGAGTATAGAGCTTACTGTTAACTTACTCCTATTTTAGTACATTAAAATGAGTCAGAGAACTCAGCTATGATAAACCACATAATTTAAAAGCTTGAGAGGACAAGGCATTTGATCTTCAAAGTGCTTTCATCTTCTGCAGTGGTATAGGACATATGCCAACATATCTGTCTGATTGCAGGGTAGGGTTGGTTTGGGGTTCCGTGTTCAGGCAATAGTGATTCTGCTGATGTGGTTTTCTTTTTAAAGGGATGTAAACTAAAAAAGAGCAAAAACATGAGACTATCCCCCTATATAAAAATTATTTTCTTTTGTGTGTAGCGGAAAGGAAGCCTCCTTTGTTTAATATGAACGCAATGAGTGCCTTATATCACATAGCGCAGAATGAATCCCCTACACTACAGTCTAATGAATGGTAAGTATTACTGAGGGAGGAATGTTGTAGATAATTGTCGTAAATGGAGTGCTTTGTCTTGCTGAGTTCTTGAAATGGCTAGATTCCTGTTGGGAGGATGCGAGCTGGAAGGTTCGTATTAGGTTCACTATACATTTCATATACAAAATTGACCAATTACTAAATATGCATTTTAGACTCTAGAATGTAGTGGAAACAAGACATGCTGCTGGAAGAACATAAGATCCTGTAAAAATTCAGTTCATGGGTCAGTGAGCTTTTGAAGCTCCTAGGCTAGCCAAAAATGTGGTTTTTAGTGTTTTTTAATCACAAACCACACTGTCAATTCCTAAATCTTGTTTTGTTGAAGTATTGCTTTGCAAGATGAAGACACTGCTTGTGTGCGGCAAGTGTCTGTTGCATAAACTTCGGAAGAATAAAGCACAGTAGTAACGTTTTGTGCCTCCCAGCCTCAGCAACTGTCATTTGAAACAGCAAACACAGTAAACTAATTTCAAAAGTTAAAAACTTCCTAATTATGTTTTTCTGAGCCATAGTTCTAGGCCTCTAACAAAGTACATTGTGCCATACTTTTATAAATTTTTTTCTGCTTTTGAGATTTTCTGGTTAGGCTATTTCACACCCTGGTGCTTGACAAAACGTTCAACTAATTTTATGCATTTTTCTGACCAAAAAATGCAATAATTTAATTTACTGAAAAATTGCAGTAGCAAAAAACCCCATTACATGATGGGAGGGGGGGAAGCGGTGAGGGAGGAAAGAAACAAAACCTGTACAACTGGTGTGCTGCTGTTTTGAGGGTATAATCCTGCCCTTCTGAAAACCTGTGTTCAAAGGCAGAAAGGGCAAAATACAGAATTTTAGCTTACGGAGGGAGGGATGTTACTGAACAAATCATGACCTTAAGACTTAACTTGTGATGGATTGCACAGTAGTGTAGAAGTTGTGTCTGAGGGGCCAAAGGCATTTCAGGAATTGTGTATTAATACAATTTGCGGATGAAATACCTGCGCACAGAGGTGAAACAGGGCAGGGGCTCTGATTAGACCTTGAAGAGTTTGTGCAATATAGAATTTGACAGGATTGATGCTCACACTGAGATGTGTGGCTGTCCGTCTTTATACAGAACTTCCCTTCCTCTTGAATTGCCCCGTATTTTTGCATTCTTAAGCTGAAACATTTTGACTGGAAGCTGAGGTTAAAGGGATCTACTTACTAATAGCGGTGGGCTTTGGCTTGGCTAGGGATGTCAGAGGCTGTAGTATGAAGTACTGGGCCTGTGTGGTTTCTCCCCACTCTTTCTACTAGCAGTGCCCAAATGTGAATGTCTTGATTCCTTAATGAGCTTTGAAAATTAAACTGGGTAGTTAACTCAGATGTTTTTTTGTTTTTTTTTCTCTTTCCTTGCCACAGGTCTGATTATTTTCGAAACTTCGTAGATTCTTGCCTCCAGAAAATTCCTCAAGACAGGCCTACATCAGAGGAGCTTCTGAAGGTTGGCTCGCTTGTCCTTTTTGTTTTCCACATGGTATTAAAAAGGGGCCATGCCCTGTGACACTCTTCTGTCTCACCTACCGTACTAGGTTATGGTCAACGATGCTCTCTCTGTCCGTTGTCCCTAATACCTTTGAGCTGAGGGTGCTGTGGAGTGTACCGAGCTGGCAGTCCTAGCTTTACTGCCCCTTTGCAGTGTCTCGGGCAGTTCCCCGGGTGACTTTCCAAGCCAGCCTTGTTCTCATCATAAAAGGACACCCCAGCAAGTGACACTGGATGACCATCGACTTGTCGAGAGTTACAGTTTCTTAAGCTCAGTCTCTCTTTCCAGTGATTATAATTAATCCTGACAGAGCTGCCATGCATTTAGTTAACAAATACCTTTCGCTACTTCCCTCTTTATTCTATGCTATATATATTCCTAAAGGCTTTTTATCCTCTCCCATCTCCTATGTGCTTTACACGTAGAACTGAAATCCGCTGTTCTAGTAGTATCCCTGGGGGGAAGGGGGCAGAGGAAAGCAGTTTTTCTTCCCCATACTTTTCCTTAACATGAATAAACCTCAGCCGTCTGCAGGTTTTCTGCTTTATTTCTTAGCTTTTTTTTCTCCATTCGTGCTCCTGTATGCTGCAGATACTTGGTTTTCCTTGCTCTAGTCTGGAAACAAAGCCAATGTGGTAGATTGTTGCAAAAAGCTGACGTGTTCCTAAGTGAACGCAACTCACATAGAAGTTAGATGATAGAGCTGCTTTATTGTAAGTGTGACTTTGATGGATTTCCTTTGTGGCATCAGGTGGCATTCAGAATTTTGCTAACTTGTCATTCTCTTTACAGTGCTCGTGATGTTATTTTGGTTTTTTTTTTTATCCCAGCCATGTTTCTGCTAAACAGCGGTTTTCCAAAATTTTGCATTGCAGGGAAATGGATGCTATTTATGAAGGTTTTATCATCACCTATTTGCATGTTTTTACTAAAATGGTTCTGAGGACTTTTGCCTCTTTAAAAACTGTGTATTCAGAAAGTAAATGCAATTATCCAGTAAAGGTTTCGGTGTGGGTGTGTAGTCCTGCCATTTCAGAATTCTGCAGATCGGTTTTATTTTGAGCAATGCACTGCAATTAAAGAGAACATTGATGGAAATTAAATGTTAGTGAATGTATTCCTTCCATATTTATAGTCTGAAACAGCTGCGTGCCGCTGTACAGGGACAGGTAGGGAATGTGACATGTTGGAAATGGCAGCGCAGTTCTCCAAAGGAACAAAATGAAACTAGCGGTGGTGTTAATGACTCATGCTTGCACAGCACATTTAATCTGGAGACTGCAAAAGCTGCTTCTGACATACGCAGACAGGACTTGTTTTACCTATTGGCTAAATGTAGCCACCTTTGCAGTGAAATGCAGCGAATATTTAAAAAAAAAAAAAGAGCATAACACGGCTCACTGTTCTAGGGCCGGGCTTGAAGGTTCACAGCCTATTTTATGTCTCAGAGCTGTATGCCGAATATTTGATTCTCAAGCTTTTCTAAACAAGGAAAAGGGTTTTATAGTGAGAGTTAGCTGATGAGTTAATTAACATTTGGTTAGAGATACTTAACCAGTCTAACACCGTTAGCACTTATGTTATTTGCTGGTCTTCCCCCTCTAAACCACAAGTAGATAACGTCTCTATCCCAACATCCAAAGAAGTCTAGGTTTAAACTGAGCCTGTTTTCATGGTATGTGACATACCATTTCTGGGTTGTTTTTTTTTACATCTTTACTTTTTCGTGGACGTCTCCCATCAGAAAGCAATCATTCTGAAATCTATCTGGATCATGAAGTCTAAAAATAGTGCCAGTGTAGGCTGTGAAGGTGTTCTCCTGTGCAGGGAAGAGGGCTAAAAAACCCAACTAGAGCTCGTAATTGTATCCTCAAAGCATGTGTGCTGGAGATGTAAGAGGTCACTCACCTATTTGTGTGTTCTACAGCACATGTTTGTTCTTCGGGAGCGGCCCGAAACAGTGTTAATAGACTTGATTCAGAGAACAAAGGATGCAGTGAGAGAACTGGACAACCTGCAGTATCGTAAAATGAAGAAGCTCCTCTTCCAGGAGGCGCACAATGGCCCTGCAGTCGAAACACAGGAGGAGGAGGAGGTGAGAGAAACTTTGGATTTCATCACTGAACCAGAGAATGATGCTGTCATTTAAATAACCACAACTCAGATATTGCTAAAACAAATGGAGGCTGTTTACACACCTGGCTGTAAACTCCATCTTCTTCTCTGTTCCTGGAATAAAGCTACCTCAAGGCACAAACAAGGACAAACAGGGTAGATGCCTAGTGCTGGCAGGAAGCTATGCCGTATGTTCATGCTTGAACAGTTAGCTTCCAGTTCTGTAAATCCTAGCTTTCTTTGCCTGTCTATAAGGCATCATGAGGACTCTTTCAGCAACTGCAGTTAACCTTTATTTTGACCGTGTATACAAGGCCCTTGACAGTCATCTAGTTTTGTCTGGAGAATGTTGTTCCGAGCCTAAGACATAGAAATGTGTACTTGATTTAAAAAAAAAAAAAAGGGAAAAAAAAAAAGGAAGAAGTCATCAAGGAAATGAATTTGTCTTTTTTGGGTTGCATGCTGCAGTCGCCATGCAGAAATGGAGACTCTCTGAATTGCAGCATTCTCATGTACGGAAAGGAACTGTGCGAGGTGCAGGGTCCCAGCTGAGCACTTAGATGATGCTGGTGTCAGAACAGTTTCTGGTGACACACTGTTGCTGATCCATGATAGAATTCAGCTTGTTAACAGGCTTGCTGTTGAAAAGAATCTGACATCAGCCAGTTAATCTTGACAAGGTTGATTCTTTCCCCAGCATCCCACGAGAGAAATGTTTCATGGCAATGCCTGGAGGGTGGGAACTGCCATGACGTGGCAGGTAGATGCCTTTAGAAAGGAATGGAACGAACATTTAATTTGGCAATGTCCATAGATACAACTGCGATGGATTTGGATTTTCTTAATAATTCCTTTCTCCTAGGAACAAGATCACGGTGTCGGCAGGACAGGAACAGTGAATAGTGTCGGAAGTAATCAGTCCATTCCTAGTATGTCTATCAGTGCCAGTAGCCAAAGCAGTAGTGTTAACAGTCTTCCAGATGCCTCGGATGATAAGAGCGAGCTGGATATGATGGAGGGGGACCACACCGTGATGTCAAATAGCTCTGTCATTCATTTAAAACCGGTAAGCATTGGATTTTTGCCTGGATAACTTTGAAGGTGTAAAGTGGGAGAGGATTTGGTTGGTACAATGACAAAAAGTCGAGTGCTTCCTATGCTAAATCACTATCTGCAGGTTCTAGTATTGTGTCCCAATATAATAACGTGCGCTGGAAACTTTGGAAGGTTGCTATGAAGATAATTTATTTCTGTTGATTCACTAAGAATTATTTTACTAACTGAATTGTTTCAAAACAATACCGTGAGGACTTGGAACAACAGGTTGTGAATAGGTTTATTTAGTGCCCTTAAATTGCAGAGCACTGCTTCATGGGACAAAAGGATGTGAGAGTTTCCCCTTTTTACCTCCTAGTTAGTGAATTCTTAAATACAAGACCCACAGCAGTGGTTGAAATCTGTTCCTGAAGCACCCAGCTTCCCAGCACTTGACTTGAATATTTGGTTAATGAACAAAGATGCACAGAAAACGAAATGCAGCACTCGGGCCATGGCAAGCTGTGAAACCCCTTCCCGTGCTTTACCTCTGCACGATGAAGGATAAAACTGGGGAGCATCTCTCTGAACCATGCTGCTCTTGCTATGGAGGGCTTATCACACCTTTTCTCAAAGCAGTAACGTTTCCCTAGCTAATGATAGGTGTGGTTAGAATGTTTTGTTCTTTGCCCAGATATGCAACAAAGATGCAGGTATTTTCTCCGGGAGTTAGTTAGTATATCAAATCTAACTACTAATCGCTCGCTGATGAATGACAAACTCAAAACAAGAATGTGGAATACACCACGGCAAATTTAAAAACTTGCTTTGAGGTATTTCTGTAGTGGGTGTAATGAAAATCTTACCCTGTCTTTCAGTGTTACAAAGATGTTGGTTTTGTCTTTCAGACTTGATATAATCTACTTTATAGCTTTTATGTTTTGTTGAAGTAAACTGTTTAACTCAATTTTCAGTTTTCCATTTATTTTTCTCATTTTCAGCTTTAATTAGTAATTTTCCTCCTAGTAATAAAAATGTGCAATGTAATTTCCAAAAGCAAGGATCCTAGATCAGAGCTCTTGTTGCAGTATATTCCCTCATCCAACTTATTGGCAGGAGGATCTTTCAGGGCTGCTGAATGTAAAATGTTTTTTCTTCCTTTTAAATGTCTCTTGAACCAGACCAAAATAAAAATCTTTAGTAACACAGATTCTCTTTATTCTCTCACGTTAATATTTGCTGATAAGGAGGAAGAAAACTACAGAGAGGAATCGGATCCTCGAACAAGGGCGTCAGAACCCCAGTCTCCTCCCCAAGTATCTCGCCACAAGTCTCATTATCGCAACCGAGAGCACTTTGCTACTATACGCACAGCGTCGCTGGTACGTTAAGGTTTTTATTTTGATGAAGTTGTATAGGAAGGGATGCCTTTGAACATAGCACTGTGAAACTACGTAGAGCTGTTAGGGTTTCGTCAGAATGTAAGCTATCCTCATTGACTGAAGTATTATCACTGAAATAGTTTAATGTAAGTTAATAAAAGCTTAAATGTGACACCTGAGCAAATGTAATTTGTGTATATTAGATATTTTCAAAATCAATATGCCTAGCAGGATGCAGGAAATCATTTGTAGTAATAAGCTGGCTTTTATTTTCATATGCATATTATGTATATTTGTGTGTGTGTATACACACACACTCATATTGCAGTGGGCTAAAAAGACATGGAATACAAACCTTATAACAATTATACAGTTTTTCTGCTGGAGCACATGTGAGCTTATCTTCTACAGCAGAATTCAGTTGTTAATCTGCTCTGCTGCCATTAGCATGTGTGCTTTTCTTTATAACAAAATCATATTTCTTTACTGAGTAGTTTTCTTCTGTGGTTTGAAGACTGCCGAAAAGCAGATTAAGAAGCATTAACTTACTTTGGCCCGATGTGGTTATCTTCCTAGGTGACAAGGCAAATGCAGGAACATGAACAAGACTCTGAACTCCGAGAGCAGATGTCTGGCTATAAACGTATGAGACGGCAACACCAGAAGCAACTGATGGCATTAGAGAATAAACTGAAGGCAGAGATGGACGAGCATCGCCTCAGGTTGGACAAAGATCTTGAAACACAGCGTAACAATTTTGCTGCAGAAATGGAGAAGCTAATTAAAAAGCACCAAGCAGCCATGGAAAAAGAGGTAGGAGATTACGGTTTAGCAGACCAGTCTATATTTGTTAATTACATTGAATTGTCCACTTCCCCATACTGATGGAGAGATGACATTGTAGTCTCTTACATGTCTGTTTTCAGGAGCCAAGCAAATTGCTAATTAGAAAAAGGCTAATACATCACCTCCTTACACTAAGGGGTTTATGTAACTAGAGGAAAGGTATGTCCTTCATCGCAGTGCATTATACTAAATGATAGTATACTGACCCCAGAAAAAATACTGTAAGGGTTTTCCTTTCTTTTGCCATGTATATGCTGTCAATAACTGACTGCCATCAAGTGTTACGGAGGCAGATTAGCCTGCAGAGAAATGTGCCAGCTGCGCTTAAATGTTCACCGTCTAGTTGCTTATGGATATGGGGATTTTTATGCTTTTAAATAATTGATAATGAAGTGGTGCCGCCTACAGCGATTATTATTGATTCTTTGTTCATCTTGGATCTCTCGGTGGAGGGCTAAGGATATAGTTTATCATAAGGTGTTGACTTTGTTAGACAAGACTATCTGAACAATAGGGCTGAGGAAATGAGGCACTGAAAAAGGACTCTTGCTGGGTGCGTTGATGTGGGGGTGGAATGAGAAGAGGGTGAGGGCAAGCTCCTGAGGCTCGCGCTTACTCAGAGGCATGGTGAGTATCGTGGTGACTGTACCATGAGTTCTTGGTCTTGGGGATGAAATGAAATGTGAGCTGTAATCCTTCGGGACTCAAACTGATTTGCTGCTGGATTTGCTGTAGGCTAAAGTGATGGCCAATGAAGAAAAGAAGTTTCAACAGCATATTCAGGCCCAACAGAAAAAAGAATTGAACAGTTTCCTGGAGTCCCAGAAGAGAGAATATAAACTCCGTAAAGAGCAGCTGAAAGAGGTAACTCATCTGTAATGAGAAATGTGAATATAGTACAGTGTGCGATACAGTGCGAGAGTGGTGAACATTCAGAAATAAAAGTGCCACTGTGCGCAAGAGATCTTTTGCTGGATTGCAGCAAGTTCTGCATTTCATGAGCAGTCCTGTGCATACTGTATTTGTTTCATATCTTTGACCTTAGAGTGAGAGGGTTTATTTATATATTGGCACCTATATGTTTATCTAGTGAAAGTACAAACGTCTCCATTGTTTAATATTACTTTTTAGCCAGAAACATGCAAATTTGGCAATCCTAAGGAATGAAAAAAGGTCATTTAAGAAAGGTCATGAGCATTCTTCTCATACCTTGTTGCTGCAGATATTGACCATACACTGCAGCAGTTAGTGAAGTTTCTTATCACTTAAATGATATTTCTGTAGCAGCAGCAAGAAAACAGAGCAGTAAAGATGATCTGCAGATTTTTTTTTAATGAAAATATCTGTAAAACACTATTTAATTTTAATGGAGAAAGCTGTGTAATAGTTTAATAATCACTGTATTGTACTGAAAATCATGACCTTTGTGAAATGCAGAGAAACTGTAGAATCAAACTTCCTGATTCTTTTTGTGGAGTGGCTGAAACCGTAAGCACTATAAATAATTTTTTTGAAAGAGCCATTTAGTGCTCAACCATCAACTTGTGTGACGCAACTTTGGAGCTTGCTCCAAAGGGGAATATTCCCAAACATAGACATTTCCCAGGAGAAAAAAAGGCTAAAGAGCAGCAGAGCCAAGAAAGATCTGAGAAAAACTATAGTAGCATGGGCTCTTTATAATAACATAGAATCTTTTTCTAAGTGGGCAGTAGATCACAGAGCACCAAGAAACACTGAGGAGTTCTGTCTCATACTTAAGTTGAAATGTATCACGGCAAGTCTAGTTACTGTATGGGCACCTCTAGTATGCAATTCAAGCAAGCAGAGTCTTTTGCCAAAGATGCTTCAAGCTATATATTGAACTTAATACAAATGTGGAAACTGTGGCCTTATGTTTCACCTGTGAACTTCTTTATATTGTTTTTGTAAGTTATGGAGTCTCAGTGAGCAGCCCTGCCTTGATGAGTTACTTATAAAACGTGTATGTGTTCTGATCAAGCAAGACACAAATTTTCTGATGTGCTTCATGTGGCTGGAGTTCTGTATGAACAACGTTTGTAGATGAGATAGGATGACAACGCTTTCCTTCTCCTCTCATTCCTTTGGGAGCCTGTAAAAACATTTGTCAGGCAGAATGGCAGGACCTCCAACTATCTTTGTTTTCAGTGGCAAACCATCATTTTTATGTTTTGAGCTAATATATATGTCTGGAAACTGTGGACGTGAACCATCATTTTGATGAGTTAAAATGGCCAATGCAAAAAAAAGTTGTAGTTAAATTTGCTCCACTGTGAATTGTCTCCTGGTGTTCCCTTAGATATGCACTATGTTGCGTTTTTGCAGAGGCTGGGATGGTACTGGCCGTGAGAAGGCAAGGTGGAGCGGCTTTGTCTGAAACGTAGTTTATTAGGCAGGTCTGTCCAGTTGTTCAGGGCCAAGGAGCTTAATGTGACTATTCCACAATTACTTATCTTGCTGTTATCAGGAGCTGAATGAAAACCAGAGCACTCCAAAGAAGGAGAAGCAGGAGTGGCTCTCAAAGCAGAAGGAGAACATCCAGCATTTCCAGGCAGAGGAAGAAGCCAACTTACTGCGGCGTCAGAGGCAGTACTTGGAGCTGGAGTGTCGCCGCTTTAAGAGACGGATGCTCCTTGGCCGCCATAATCTGGAGCAGGACCTGGTTCGGGAGGTAAGAGAATAAGCAGAGATGAGACCTGGAACCACCTGTGTGAAGTGTATCTCTCAGGGCCACCTGCCATCCAGCTCCAACGTCACTGAAGTGTTAATTACCACATCTGAAGTTTTTTGGTAAAATAATGATTCAATATGTTTTGCAATGCCATCTGGTAATTCCTGTGGCATTTAGGGGATCATGCGGTATCAAATGTTCAGGTTAGTGCCCTATTGTGGGAGAATTGTTAGATCCAAAAAGTCAACAGACACAACAGTTACAGTCCTTTCTAGAAAATGCTTACTGTGAATCCTGTTGAGCATCTAGAACAGGAAGAAGAAAAGTGAAATGAGGAAGGAAAAATTACCGGTGGCAGTGCTGTCTGCTTCTGATAAGATGTAGAAACTCTGTGCTCTGTCCTCAAATGCCTTGGAAAGAGGGAAATGCCCTTGTGAACAAAGTGAAATGTCACGTTGTGAATGGAAATCCAAGTAAGTACAAAGAATCTAATAAGTCCTTCTGTCCTCCTGTTAGGAGTTAAACAAAAGGCAGACACAGAAGGACCTGGAGCACGCCATGCTGCTGCGTCAGCACGAGTCCATGCAGGAGCTGGAGTTCCGCCATCTCAGTACCATCCAGAAGATGCGCTGTGAGCTGATCCGACTCCAGCACCAGACCGAGCTCACCAACCAGCTGGAATACAACAAGCGCCGGGAGCGGGAGCTGAGGCGTAAGCACGTCATGGAGGTCCGGCAGCAGCCCAAGAGCCTGAAGGTACTAAGTGATGTAGGAGCGCTGGGCGTGAGCTGCTGGTGGTGGTGGAAAAGTGGTACATTGCAGCTCAGTTCTCATTTGCAGTGGATGCAGGTCCAAGGTATTTTGAAGCTCGTTAATTCGCAGAGGTGTCTCATTTTGTAATTAATACCTTTTTTAAAAAGTACTGTATTTGTCAAGTTCTGTAACTGCCATGGTGCTTGTAGGGCTGCAATTGCACCCTATGTATGAACCATAGCAGTGGTGATCAGGGTTGCAGTGTATTGTAGGCAGGCCATAGCAGCACTATTCCCTCATTTTGTTAGAAAAGCTATTGTTCTCAGCAACGTGCCTTCCTTTTTGTGGTAATTTCAAATGCGTTTAATCTTTGCAGTGCCCTTTTTTTCCCCCTCTTCCCCCTACACTGTTTTCTGATCATCTTCTCCCTTCATATACAAAAAGAAAATCTATTTTTCTGTAATGAAGCAGTGTCATTTAAAAACAACAACAAAAAAAGCAAAAGCGTTGCGTTGCTGTGTGCATCAAAATGAACTGTACTATCGGTCTTGGCTAGCACACCTTGCTTTGGGTTTTTTTTTTTTATATTAAGCCTGTATGCTAGCAAGTATGGGGGGAAGAGAGAGAGATACCAGCCAACTGCAGTGTCCTCGGGAAGCTTCTAGCACTGACCTTTGCTGTGTTGTGCTCTGGTGGGTTTCTTGCACTGCCCTTGTAACTGTGGTGGCTGACCAGAACTATAGGGCCTCTGTAATTGAGGCTTTTAGTGTGAGAGCCTTCACTTCATCCAAAGAAGTCCAGTGGTTTATTCTGAAGTGTCTGAGAAGGGAGTGTAAGGCCTTTCACAAAGCTGCCTGGTACATTTCCTTTGAGGAGGCAGACTTCTTCTCTCCACCCAGTGTTCAGCTGTGCCAGTAACAAAATGAGTGTATGGCATACTGAGCACGGGGTTTCTTTGTTGTTCTAGGTCTTTCCTCTTCATGATATTTCCCATCTGACTTAGTTTTCACCACCTGCAAGTTATCTTCTTGCAAAGAAAATAACCAACTTGAAAATAGAACTTCAGCAAGAAAAAAAAATTACCTTATTTGTCAATATTAGAATAATATTAAATAGTGAAAACCTAGCTTGTGAGAACAAGGGACCATCTGATCGCTGTTGAGAATCTCCAAGGATATAGTGTATAAATAGCTGATGACTTCACAGGGAAGCTGCGCTGCACTCTGAGCTGAATAAAACTGAAGCAGCTGTATTAGGTTGATCCTTCTGAGATTAGCATGAATGAGTTCTGCCTCTCCAATGTGATGTGGTGCAAACCCGAGTGGGCAGCATGTCCGTTCTCGTTCCCTTGCTGGCAGTCGGGACAGCAGGATTAGCAGTCTCTCTGGGCTGCAGAGGCTTGGCTGCCCTCTCACCTCTGCAGGTTCTTCAACCCCTTCACTCTTCCAGCGAGGACGGGGCTGGAGCGTTTTGCAGGGAGCATGGAAGGCTTGCACTTTGCAAGTGGCTGTTCTGTGATTAGTGAAGGATTTCAGGCTTGAGCTGTCGATCCAGCACCTTTGCGTACACACAGTGCTAATAATGCAGCCTGCCGGACAACCGTTGGGTTTGTAGTGCAATCCTCTATTTATTGAGACTGTTCCCTAGTATTAACTCTTCTCTTGCGTCTGACTAATGCAGGCAAGTATTCTTCTGACTAGATAATTTGACTATTTGTTCAGTTTCTCTCCTCAGCAACGTTTTCCCGAGAGGGCACGTTTCAGGCTTTCCCTTTGTTATTTAGTGAGGTCCTTTGTCCTGAAAGCAGACTTTTAACGGTCAGCGTCTGTTGCCGCTATTACAGCAGCAGAAGGACCAATAACTAGAATTCACCCTTCAGTGAAAACTGCTGTTATTATTTCAAGTGTGTTAATTGTGATGCAAATACCCTCTTGCTGGTATTTCACAATACTAGGTCAAAATGATCTTGTCAGAAGTCTGACTGGAAATCTTACCCCTCCCTTCTGTTTCCTGTTGTTAAAGCCTTTGGATTGGAAGCCTGTAAACAGAGTCTGGTGTCCAAGCGAGACTTCACAGAAAGTGAGGACAAAATAGATTGCTAGTGTTTTGCTGTGACCAGGTCCCTGATGGGAATGTGTAACTTGCTGACACTTCCCTTAGGGGCAGGGAGAAACAACCTTAAAGGCTTCCTGGAGGAAGATAACTTCCTATGAATTTAGAAAGGATAAAAGCAATGTATTCCTCTCCATGATATATGTTTTGGTTTGAATGAAACACATCTTTGTCCTGTTTTCTGCGTCAGGTTAGCAAAGTGGAATTGTTGGTTTATGCAGCAAAGCATGCTGATGTCTAAATTGGGCTCGATATATTGTCTGATCCCACTGCATCTTTCTAGGTAGCTACAAGTGCTGCGCCTTATCACCTACCCTGCTGAGCCTTGAGTTAGTGCCAGGAGCAGGCAGTGGAGGAGCTGACGGGAGACATGCACATATCTATCTATCTATCTATCTCTGTCTATCTATATCTGCCTTGCTGGTTCAGATCCCAGAGCAATCCCAGAGCTCTTCCAACTTATTCAAGGCACAGGAATCTGTTCCTATGCTCTGTTCCTGCCCCCAGTGCTTCAGGATTTGACCATGGTGGCTGAGAGTGGGAATGGCCCAGGGTGTATACTGACTGCCCTGACGTGGGGGTTTAGGGGTTTGTTTGTTTTTTCTTACCATGGCGAACTTGCCTATCTGTCAGTTAACCACCATTGCTCATCACTTCTGGGTTTTGCTTACTTCAGAAGTATCCCTGCCAGCCCTCCAGTGGAAAGATACGGGGAACTCCAGAACTTCTTTTTAGGGTCTTAAAACACTTAGCAGATGTTAACCCTTACAAGCTGCTCTGGAGGCAGGTAAGGCAGGTGAAAGAAAAAAATAGTTAATGTCCTCACGGTCATACAGCAAAATTGGATCCAGATACCTTTTCCAGGATTGATGTCTCCCAGCCCTGTGTGCAATCAAAGTTACGTCTAAACAATACAGAGATGCTAGCAAAGTGCAAAGGGAGAACTCAGTCTCCAGTAAGCCTCTGTTGGGACTGGGGAATCGTTTTGTTTGCTAGACTAGCACAATGCTAATGTTGCTTGTGGCATACATCTTCAAGCGTCTAATCTTCCCTAGCCATTTTTTGAGTATCTTTATGAAAACCAGGCTCGTAATATCAAAGGTTAGAACACATCTCACCTTCATCAAACCCTCAATGGAAAAAGCGTTGCTCTTTTTCCCTGTCCCTTCCCATGCACCAGATTTGCTTCTTTCATAACATCAAGTGCTGTTCATATATATGTGCCATACAAGCACAGTCATGTGTAAGTATGGCTTTTGGTGCTAATAAATATTAGTCCTGTCCCTCAAGAACTTTTCTTGAAAAGCAACACCCAGGACTGGATCCAGTCCAGTGACAAATGTGAGGCTCTTTGTGCAGAGACAGCTGTATTTAGGCTGGAGCTTTGTTATAAAAGTGTCTGTATTGTAATTGTTTTGCACAGTAGCAGTGTCAAAGCAGCTGCAGCAATAGTCATTGCCTCTTGTGTATTTTGCTTCCCTCCTTGCACTGTAGATGTTAATATACATTTGTGGATTCTTGAACTCATATCCTTAATGTAATCCTAAATATCCATTTGAATGGATATTTCTCCCATTTGAAACGTGCTGTTTTTTTCTTTGTTTGTGTCCCCTCCATCTTTCCAGTCAAAAGAACTACAGATAAAGAAGCAGTTTCAGGATACATGCAAGATCCAAACCAGACAGTACAAAGCACTGAGAAACCATCTGCTGGAGACCACGCCAAAGAGTGAACATAAAGCTGTCCTCAAACGGCTCAAGGAGGAGCAGACCCGGAAGCTGGCTATCCTGGCTGAGCAGTATGATCACAGCATTAATGAAATGCTCTCTACACAAGCTGTGAGTCGCCTCCGAGGGACCCAGGGTTCCTCAGCCAAATAGGGATGTTTGCATTTTAACCAATCTGTATCCTGACAGCAGGCTATCTGCTTCCTTGCTACATGTGCCATACCCAGCACAGTCATTCCTCTGTATTTAAAAAGCAGCATTCAAACGCAGAAGAAAGAGGTATTACCCCCTTCAGGCAGGTTGAAGTTGAAGCTGCTGTTGCAGAGATGCAAAGTGATGCATCTGTGTGGCCAGAGGACTGCTTTTGCATGAAGTTTGACAACATAAATGTCCCTGTTAGAGCATCGTTAAATAATGTGCAGCTTGCTGTCTTAAGTCACCTAGGTTTTGATTTGTTGATACCAACCAAAGCATGTCCCACTGGTGGAAGATGCTCATTGAGTCATGGAGGAGTCCAGAGTTTTGACTGTAAATCTGAAATAATGTTAAAAGTGTTGTGAAAGTTCTGTGATTCCTTCTTTAAGAGATTCCTTCTTTAAGGAATGACCACATGAGCAATGCTTTGAGTCCTTGCTACAACTGAATGTGCAGTTTTCTTTGCACTTCTTGCATATTGCGTCCTGCTCACATCACTCTCTACAAATTTGACACTGTGAGGCAAGGTAGCTGATTCAATTTATGTATGGGAAGGTTAAAAGTTCAGTATCATATTGCTTTTAGGTTTATGTCATTATATTCTTTTCGCCCAAAGTCCTGCATTGGCAGGGATATGGACTTAAGTCTCCTGCGTACAGGTAATTGGTTAATCCAGTTGAACCAGAGCAAGAGATCTTCTCTGCCTCTAGCAAGAGGAGAGCTGTGGATGTTAGCACCTCCAGCAGTTTGGTCTCTGCAGTATGGATCATGGTTCCTGAGGCACCAGTGCTCATCAGCATCACTTGCATCAGCGCTGTGGGCTTGCTGTCACCAGCCTTTGTCACTATAGGTCCTCTGTTCAGTGAAATGAAGTACAATAGAGACCAATTGTATTGCTAAGAAAACAAAGTCCCATCCCATTCTCTTCCCCTCCTCGCAGTCCTCCCCCGGAGTGTCATGAGTGGTTACCCCATAGTGAAACATCTCTATTGTCTGTCTCTCCCAGCTGCGTTTGGATGAAGCACAGGAAGCAGAGTGCCAGGTTTTGAAGATGCAGCTGCAGCAAGAATTGGAGCTGCTGAATGCATATCAGAGTAAAATCAAGATGCAGGCAGAAGCCCAGCATGATCGGGAGCTGCGTGATCTTGAACAGAGGGTATCCCTCCGTCGGGCCCTCCTTGAGCAGAAGGTAAAATAGTCAGGCGAGCATCATTAGCATGCTCCATATTTCAGATCTTAAATTGCACTGTACTTATCAATAGAGAGAGAAATTGCTTTTACCTTGCTGTATATAGTAACAGAGATCATTTAGGTATTTGCCTCTCTGGGATGATAGCTCAGTGACACATAGGCTAAACTTTCTGCCAGCTCAGCCATCCTATGTGAGCAGCTTCTGGCTGGCATAGAGCTGCTTGAAGCATGCCAGAGGGAGCCGTGCCTCTCTGGGCAGAAGGGAAAGTGAACTGTTCTTTCTGTCTCTGAGCTGCAGATTAGCTTCCCAGCTCATTAGAGGACAGACAATAACAACCTAAA